AGAGAGAGAGAGAGAGAGAGAGAGAGAGAGAGAGAGAGAGAGAGAGAAAATGCATTGGATGATTTCGTGTTAAGCCCACAGCCAACACCAACTCTCTCACAGTGACTGTAATGTTAAGCGACACAGGCTTTTCAAATATAGCTCCATCAAAAGCTTCTACGGCACCGAGGCTGCTCACACTCCCCATAAATCACTTTCCTAGGCTGAATTTATGAAGTTGCAAAATGAGTCGTTTCTCTCTACAAAAAAAACTTCTCTCTTGATTTAAAAATCCCAAAACCCCTAATTCTCTGAATCAAAAGGAGAAGTCAGTATCATCAGGATTATTTCTCACTGCGGCAGCTCTGTGGCAGACCGGCAGATCACAGAGAACCAGGCAGCTTTCCCCCACGGCGCACTAATAGCCGGTGGGACCACACAGTCACGTAATTGCAAGAGGAAATTCAATATGGCTTCTCTGTGGTCTCTTATTTTTTTATTCAAATGAGACATTATTGGATACACAGGAGCAAGGCCTCATGCATTCAAATCATTGATCTGTCCACTCCCCCTTTTTCGTTTTCTCCCTCACATACACATTTAAATCTAAAATATCAAATTACCACAATACATTTTTTCAGTTATGGTATAGTATTATAGTATTAGTATTTTCTCAATGTTAAAACACCTATTTAAGACAGTTTTGGCATCTGCTGTTTGGAAGCTATAACAACAGTTGGAAATAATTGTGTTTTCTGTCCGTGTGCGATTATAGACTCAGATAAACTCCACAGCAAATGACTAGACAAGCAAGTTGTCTCCCATCACAAAGTGCTTTCAGAGCCATCTCCAAATCTTAAGTGACACAGTTATAGAGTGAGAGAAACCCAATCAAACTTTGATGCATGAAATGTTCTTTGACGGGTAGAGCAAATTGCCACTGCCTTTAAAACAAGAATTACTTTGCATTCAGTGATCCAAACTCTCCGTGTGTGTTGGGATTGTGAAAGGTTTTATGTTTCTAGTTTTAAAGAAATAATTTTCCCTGGCGGTGGGAGAGAGCAGAGAGACTGGTGTGGGAGGAGAGAAAGTTTTTCTGATGTTGCTGTAACTCCCACTGGCCAACAGCTGAGGATAATTTTACTTAGTATGTTTTTTTTTTTTATTAACTTAGCACAGTTGTGTATTATTTATGTTTTCACTAAAATGTAAATTAGAGCTAATATGACCAACAGTGGTATTACTTGAGAATGTGTTAAAGCATGGCATCATCTCTTAAGGACTATGCAAGAAAATGAATTAATCTTGAGAGGGGCTCTTTCATCATAAAGCCTTGCCACTGCAACCTCTTAAGTTGCCGAGTGAGTATATAGAATATAACGGTCAGTGCGGCCAAATTACAAAAAAGTCTTTATTATTGATCATACTTTCTCACTTGGAATCTAGTCATTCATCAGTTTCAGACCTCATTTCTGCCTCCACAACAATAAACAATAGAGGTTAATGAAACTCTTTGAAACGGGCAAAACATAAAAAATAAGTTTTGATTTATAGTTGAGTGTCGGATATTATTTATTGATATCATCGCGGCAACACTAGAAGGATGTATCGTAGATGATCAGGACATATCATGCTTTGATTATGTTCCCCCACTGTGTCTGCAGCCTTTTTGTTTATTTTCTGATACAGAGCGACCATTAGCTGCACATATACTTTCAGATCTGGAGTCACATTCTTAACTTGACTTATAACATTCGCCTTGTATCTGAATTACTGAATTAGAGACGACCGCTGTGCAACCGCTGTGTTTACGTGCAATGAGTCAAACAGAGTGGAGATCCCGGTGAACAGAAGGTCTGCAGTGTTATGGCTTTGCTAGTGTTACAGAGTCTTAACTGAAGGGAAAATTCACACCTTTTATGTGGATGTCCAATCAGTTTTAAAAAGGTAAATGTATGGAATTCCTCAACGCTTGCTATATTGACTGAGAAAGCTGAGTTTGCAGCTGCAAAATCTGTTGTTCTTCCTGCATCCAGCGTAGTCATTTGACGTGACAGTAGTCACGGCAAGTTGGTGGAAAGGAAGGTCTACAGGCTAATTTAGCTTGGATTTCTCGTCTCCGTCTCTGGGTGGCCAGGTTGCGTTAATGTCACAGAACCGAACTGCCTTCATGAAAATACATTATGTTCAAATTTCGGTGCTCCAACCCTTTACGTGCGACTGTAAAGTGTATACGTGCTTTCGTGTCCTTTAATAAGCTGGCAACATGGCCGGAATGCACCCAACGCATGCCGGGACAGGCTCTAGCCTTCATTGTGACCTTTAACACGATAATCAAATAGGAAACAGATAAGACACCATTTTCCCTTCACTAAGCTAAACCCTAGACTTTTAAACACTTTTCAAGGAATCTAATTTGGATAAAAATCACAAGGAAAGCTTCTCATCTGAATTTCATGAGCCTCTCTCGAGTGTACTGCTTTTGCAAACAGACATTTGGGGATTTTCCTGAAAACAAAAAGAATCAGTTCAGTATCTTAAAAACAGCTGGACGGGTCAATATTAAATAAAACTGACAAAGTTAATATAAATGTGAAAGGATGGAGCAAAGGCTGCCAAAAACCTCTTACAGGGCCGTTTAATTTACCTCAACGCATGAAATATGTCACCATTATCCATCTGACCACCCATCCATTAAATTGTCTGCTCTGATGTTGGTTACAGACTTGATGAGCTCTTCACACACAAGGGGAAATATTGAGATGAATCCTGTTCTCTTGATAAATCAGAAAGTTAAGTAGCGAACACAGACACTTTCCTCCATTTATAGGATATACGGGAAGTGCTTTGGCCAGTTGTGTTGTGTTTATTCCTCGACAGTGAAATTTCTTTTTTAAACGATGACGGACAGAGAGGACGGACTTGTTACCTACTGCAGTGCTTTGGCATTCGTGATGATATACTTTAGTTGCTCTTAAGCTGAGCCGACCCAAGCTTAAAATTCTCTGCGGTGTTGCTCGTCTTTAAAGCAGGTTTAGCATTAAAGCTCTGTATCAACAGGGAAATAAGATAATCCTAATCCTTTGCCGAGGCAAATAATGATACGTAAACCACAAAATACAGCATGTGTGTGTGTGTGTGTGTGTGTGTGTGTCGTTTTAACTCATGTTCATGAGGTTGTGTGTATATGCGGACTTACCAAGGGCAGGCTCGGCGCAGTCTTTGTACTGCTCAGGCGTGCAGTAAGAAGCATCGCCTAAGAACAGTTCAAATGAGGAGGAATTAGTCAATGGTCGTGTTTACATTGAGTTCTTGAAAGACAGTTGGATGAATATAAAAACAATATCCCAGGTTTTAATGCCAACAACTAATCCTGTATTGACTTGTGATGTCCATATGAGGTCTCCCAATGCAGTCTAATCTCATATAAAATACTGCAACCTTGCTAAAACTCTGTGCATGGTCAACACACCCCCAGAAGTGTCTTTTTTTTGTGCTAAACTCGGACCAGCGGTGGCACTTACCAGGCATGTGCACCATCCTGCAGTTGCAATTCTCTACGATGTAGCGTGTTTCACAGTCAATCCTGCAGGCAGTTACACTGTAGACCTGGAAAAAGCCCGACTCAAGAGCCTTCGATTCGCACTCTCCCCACGGGGGAGGCAGGTAGGTCAGCTGCAGGTGAGAAAACATGGGGTGGGGGAGAGTCAGGAGCTTCTTTAAAACACACACAAGTTTCTCCAGAAGTTTTTAAGACTTTTTTATGAAAATACCATATAGACTGCAATTTAATGCCTTTTTCCAATGTCCCCCTCTCCACTCAATTCTAGTACTCTTCTGTCTGTGTGTGTGTGTGTGTGTGTGTGTGTGCGCGCGCTGCCGTCGGCGTGGCTTCTCCACTTACTCTCCCGGCTTCTGGCTCCCTGATTGCTGCCAAGCTGTACCTGCTCCAAGCAACACACCTGGAATACATCAACTCATCAGCCCAGCAGTATTTCAACACTGGCGTTCCTCCCAGCCCTTGTCAGATCGTTCTGTCGGCCACAGTGGTAGTCTTATGTTTACGGCTGCTCCTTGTCTTCCTGCTTAGTGTATTATCTCCTTGTGCGTTTGTTGCTGTGCTTAATCCTGTTTTTCCCTTGTGCCTGCAGTATCATCCACCTTCCTGTCTGCCCGCCTGCTTCCCCATCCAACCTCACCCTCGTTCACCTTGCTCAGCTGGACCTGCCATTACTCTTCACCCTCCTGCCCTCTGCCATCATCGCTAGTACTTTATTGAGTGCTTTCAATAAACTTCATCTGTCTCCTAGTTGGGTTCTGCACTTTGGTCTTTCACTTTGATCTATATCATTAAAACATTTAAAAAATGTGTAAGTATACATATTGACATTCGTATAACAACAAGAACACCGAGTAACTTAACTAATAACAGGATCTGGACCCTGATACACTGCAGAAAATTGATCGCTGGATAACCAATCAGGACTTTTGCACATGAGTTGATTGAGTTTTGTAGCTACTGTGGCCAGAAGTAGCAATAGTGCTCGCTATAGGTTGGATGGTGCTGACTGAAACTCTCCCCAACAAAGGATTGAACAGCCTGCTGAATGTCTCCTAACAGCCCGCAACCACAAATGAATAAAAGATAGAAGAAAAAAATTGAAGGACTTCTATCATGAGGTAAAAACAGAAATATATATATAAATATTTATATATACTTTTGAAGTTTGTTGGATACCCTTCCACCAAGTATTTTTTACAATTTTTATTGTCACATTGAAAATCCATGTTGTGGACAAATCCATACAGCAGCCCTCCAAATGTATTCCTCAGTCCTTGAAAACCAGCCAATACAGAGCAGCAGAAGAGCCTCGCAACAAACCAGGCGGTGCGGAAAACAATTCAACAGCTCGCCAGACTCTGTCAGAAAAATCCCATGCCGCCTGGCAATGGGAGCACAAAAACTCCAAATGCTCTCCTCCTGCTCCTGTGGCTCTAAGGACTGGGACAGCAGATGAAGAAGGAGGGACACCGGGCCGAGCAGTGTGGAGGCCCATCTGCTCCAAAACACGGGCAGCGTGCTCTAGCCCACACTCAGCATCCATCACCCTCTGTTCCCCAGTTCCCTTCATTGTCATCACAATGCGTCCCCACTGAGGCTTCTTCAGCCAAATGAGCAATTGTTTTGGAATGAGGCAAAACACAACATCCTGCCAGGTGAAATTTGGCTGCAGTTTGCTTGTTAGTACCGACAGGATTTAAAACCCTGCCCCCCCTTTCAGGCGATGTTGTATCTGTGCTTCTAGGGAGGTTGATGCTTTAGGTCTTCAGATCACTTCACCAACACATAGGACAATAAATGAAAACACAATCCAAAGAGCAATCCAGCATGCTGAATCCAAAAAGTCCAAAAGCCTCCAGTTATTTCTGGACATGGCTACTATGTCTCCTGTGATAATTAAACATGCCCTCCCTGAAGCCAGCAGCAAGCACAAGAAATGAACACCGACATCCAGATGCTATTAATTATATTAGGGACTAAAGAAAGGTGCTTCGCAGCAATCCTTAACCTTTAAAATCACCTTCACACCCGAGCCAATCTTCACTTCTTGGCTAATTAGAGTCAGATGTGGCTGATCGGAGATCTGATTATTTCTCTGTAATCAGATAATCCAAGGTGCTCAATATAACTTTTTTTTTTAAACTAAGTTGGGACCCGTTGACCTGATTATTATCTATCTAGTAAGATACGAGGCCTGTGCCCCACTCGGGGTGTTATTAATCAATGTTCCCTTCTCCAGAGCAATGCTTTAATTAGGCTTTACAAGTTGGTCAGCAGGGACATTGCTGAAAAAGTTGGATTTGTGAACAGAGTGGGTTTTAATAAGGTCAGACACTGTTAGTGCTGGTTGCGTGAGCTGAAATGGAAACTGTAGAGCACTGGTTTAAGCTGGACATCAACACCAAAACAGTGTACAGGGCCTCCCCACAACAGTCAAGTTGTATTTTAAATACACGTCTGTCCAAAATGTAATAACTTCATGATGTTATCCTATTCGACATTTGTGTGAAATTGTCACAATTAGCTAATTAATTCCTGAGTTGTGGCCAAAAACCTGTTTTGTGACCTTTGACCACCTCATTCTAATCAATTTAACCTCGAGTGCACGTGCACGTTGTCTAATGGACAGTTTTTTAAAATCCTTAGCTTCAGTCAAAAGCCCTGCACAGAAGGGCAATTTCTATGTCTGGAGAGCTTTAACTTAAAAGTGCCTGTGTGTGAAAACACATTCAAACCCATATAGGCTTTGCACTTTGTGCCTTTAGCTCACTTGATTGAGCTGCTTTGATCTTGGCCCAAAATTATTAGCCAAAAATAAGCTCATTTAAACTCTTTGTCAAAGTCATTTTCACAGGCAGACTGATTGGCATCCATTACAAAGATCCGCTAATCACCAGGGCTTTTTAAAATGTGTTCCACAAGGCCCCATCCCAAGTCTGTGAACCAGATACTCTACCCAATCTTCATTATCAGGATTATTTTTGAACATATTTAACAGTGCCCTCCGGGTTTCTATAGAAGAAGAAGCTTAAAAAGACAGGTGGGAACATCTCGCAGCAGGAGGTATTTTCCTTCTGATACAAAGTGCAATTGTGCATTAATTAGCTGGAGCTAAATTTGCTGTGTTCCCCACTCTGCGGGCTTGTGGATAGGGACAGTGTTTTTGCAGCAGACAGGCAGAGGAGGGACTGCCTTCACCCCTGCAAGTTATGGGCTGTGCTGAAAGATGACAGAAACCCCGGAGGTTCATTACCCAGGAGGCCTAAACATCACTGCATAGATCTCTTCCGCTTCCTTCCTGCCTACCGCTGAGGTATCGCAGCACCACGCTGAGCTGTGATGTACAGCAGTGAGACGATGCTTCAACTAAATTTTGCTGAAGAAAAAGTTTTTGAAATCCAAACTGAACTCCTTTTTATGTAATTCAGTCACTCACATTCAGTATGTTGGTATAGGCACAAAAAACAAAAACTTTAAGTGGTTATAATCAATACGTTTGTGATTCCAACACATCACGTGTTCATTGGTATGTGAATGTCTCTTATAGTGACCAACCCACGAAGAACTGTCCTCTCATCTCTATGAAGCTTTATAGCGCCTTTCAGCTCATTGTTTTGGTTTTATGGCCCCCAACCTCTCTGTTTTGTTTATACCTAAAGCAAGCAGCTGTTTTCAGTGAAAACACTTAAAAAACCCACTGTACTACCTGCCCAGCACAAAACAGCTGCACCACATAGTTAGCAACTAGCTGGTAAAGTGTAACATAGCAGAGAATTCAGTGGCTAATATTTAATGGAATATTAAACTCACAATCGCCAGGTGGTCAGACTCCAAATTAATGCAAATGTTGCCGTGTATCTGGATGAGTAAATAGACAACTGTTCGCTTTTGACTCCCCCATATCAATTTAAAAGGTGTCGATATGTCATAATTGTGTTCACAGCTTTGTTTCTGCTGCACAAAAGAGTTACTGTGGTTGCCAAAGTAACAAAAAATGAATTGATACGCCAGAGAGAGAAGAAGAAAATGAAAAGGAAATGAATTCTTGACACAAATCTATAAGAGAAGGGCAATCTGCTCCCGGCTGTTGAGTCAGACAATTCATTTTCAAACTCACAGAATTCCTCCTCAGAAAAAGAGAAAGAAATGGAGAGAAACAAAAGTTACAAAGAGAGAAACGGAACTAATAACCCGGATAATAAGAATTCCTGACTGACATGGCTGCGAGGAGTCACAATATGGAGTCATTCAGCTTGGCAGTGTAGAAACACCTTCACTGAAACATGTTCAACTCTAGCAAGTGGGATGGGAAAGAGAAAGAGGGAAAAACTACCCGGTGAAGTAGGAGCTTCTGTTACCAGAGAAAAGTCTATTTGCATTCACTACGTTTGGCTTTTTATATCTGTGAGACCTGCGGGCTTTAATTTCGGCCTTGTGTGATGGAACAAAGCTTCAGTATGATTGAGTGGGGCTGAGTTCGAGTGAAGCCAGTTAAGGGTTTAGAGGGTATTGTGACACATGTTCAGCTACTCACACACACACGCACACACACTCACACACATGCATACACATGGACACAATCCCATCATGCCTGGCTATGGCAAGCAATAAATCAAAGATTTTTAATTAAATTTTTACTTATTTATTTATCTCTGAGCGATAAGATGAGCATGTGAATTAGAAGTGAAACACAACACAAGGAGGAGAAAAGCTATCAACTGTGTAGAAGTGGAAGAGAGGGACACCTACCCTCTGCTCCTGTGTGGCTACAAAAGTCTGGAAGCCAGGGGCCACGCCGAAACCCAGCTCGTGAACGAACGGGGGCTCCGCCTGGCTGTGGATCTGCACACGCACACCTGCCTCGAAGGCTGTATCCTCTGGAAAGGAAGACAGATGGGAAGACTGGGTTAGATGATTTATTCAGGCAATAAACAAACCGATATGTGCAGAAAAAAAAAACTTAAATGTCTTTGGCTTTTTGACTGGTTCAGATAAATTGCTCAGGGAATAAAGGAGCGAAAAAGGCTGTTCACACTCAACAGATGCTGCTGCAGAGAGTCAAAAACTGAATTTTCTTGTATGAGACATTTCGCAAATTTCACTCTTTCGACTCAAAGCCACGAACCTTTAAGATCCTTTATTATAACACAAACTCTCGGTGACCGGCTGTCTCATTTGTCTTGACTTAAAACACCAGTGAGAAGAAGGAGGATCGGTGCTGACTCCATCGGTGAAAGGACCTTTATTCTGCAATTCACAGCACTTGTATGCACACAAACACACACACACAGTTATGAGCAAGGACGAAAAGAGAGCCATGACATTTGTGGGAAAAGAGAGAGCGCTCTTTGTAAAAAATCGATAATGTTCTCTCTCCCATGTCCTCACTTTCGGTGGTGAGCTGCCGGATTTTCAATCAAGGCCCTGCCAGACAATCAGCCAGACACCTCGTGTTGCTTTGCAACCAACAGACAACGGAGCCTGTCAGCACGGCCAGCCTCACGAAACCACAGACAACACACACACACACACACAGACACACGTGCATATAGCATTATCACCCTACTATGATACACTCATCAGTCAAACATCTGCAGCGACTGATGTGGTGACTGACAGCTTGGATGCATTCATATTAAAGAATAGATGAAGGGATCAAACATGCCTTTTTTCGGGCTGTGTGTGTTTGAAAACAACAATTCCCAAAGAGTACAGTACGTGTGTGTGTGTTTCTGTGATTATGTGTGGGTCTGAAAAAGAGTATGAAAGAAACATTGGCTGTTTGAGAGAGATAATCAGAGTCTGTGTGTGTGTGTGTGTGTGTGTGTGTGTGTGTGTGTGTCAGAAATAGAGAACAATCCCATAAATGTGCAGGCTGATGACAGACTGCTGACTCTGTGTTCATGTGTGTGCGGGGAGTTAAATCATTGTTGTGTCCTTTCCGGTGCAGTCTCCGCTCTGTCCTATAAAATATAGTATTATGTCCTGCGTAATAAAGGTCTAGTACTTGTATGTGGCTGACAAGTTTGATGTCCTTTATGTCTCTTCCTACTCTGTCCAGCTCTGTGACTTGTTCTTTATGGTGTGTGCGCTGTACCATTAAGAAGCTGTTAGCTCTCTGTGTATTTAGCACAAACATATAATTGAATCGGCTGCATTTTTCTCACTGGGAAAGGATTACTGCAGCACAACATGTTTCAGGTGAGATCCAACACTGATGACGGGGCGATGAGGCCTAGTCTACTGTTGGTGTTCCAGCTCACCCCACCAGTGTCCACATCATTTTGGACAAATAGAATTATCTGGTCCTCTTGGGGAAAATCAGGCTAAATCTCATTGGATGTTTTTAGGCTGAATCCAGGTCTTAAACCAGCCATTTTGGTTCTGTAAAAAGACAAAGTTATGTTTACATAAAAGTATGTGGATTGGGATGCTCCCATTTTTCATTTGATGACTCAAACCCTTAACTTCATCATACATTGTCATATATTTTAGTTAGTGGCATGTACAAGGAAAGACACATGATATTAAGCTATAAGTCTTATAATTGTTGGACTAATGCTCCATTAGCAGCCATACCATTTTACATAATTATCCACTGTTGAGCAAAAACAATCAAAAACACATAAAAGAGCCACAATGTTGCACTGGGTGACATATGCCTTCATTATAAAGAACACTTAACAGTGTAAATAAGCAACGGCATGCCTGAGACTGCACAGTGATGTCTGCACAACACAAAAATACAGGCACTAACTGCACTAGCTGTTTATTGTGATAAAGGAATACGACGCCCATACGACGCCCATTTTTGCTCTTTAGTGTGTTCTTAATGGTATCAATGTATTTATATAAGAAGCATAATCTGTCAGGCTGTGACTGCATATGCAATAGCTTAGCCGCAAACATTGTTGGTTATGGTCTTTGGTCAAGGAATGTGTTAATGATAATAAAAAAGATAAAATAACATCAATGTGTATAGGCAGATGTTCAATAAGATGCCATTTTCTGCCGTTACATTGTTGTAAACATCGCTCTTGGTCAACAATTAGCTGCACTAATATAATATGGTGACTGTTTCAACTGACACTTCCCTGTTGCTCAACAATATCTATCAATAATCTATTTATTCAGCTGTTGTGTGTTGACCATTTGTCAACCAAAGTGCTTGCTGTAAAAAAAAAACGTGCAAATATATTGGATTGATATAGATTAGACTTGATGTCGGATCTTTGCAGTGAATGCTGGGTAAAAGTAGAAATACTGAGAACAGACTGAACAGATGTTCTCAGTCAATGTGAATTTGAAAAGCTTTTTGAACAGTAATACACAATAATGATATAAAAATGTTATTTGAAAAAAGGGATTTTGAAAATGCCGCGGACATGTTATTCATACCCAGAACACCATGACATAACACAAGAAAAAGAAAAGGCATCAAAAGAATAAACACAACCGAGCACCACTAAGGTTTTTGTTTTGTCTGACGACGTAAAAAAAAAAACACAGAGATTTTCTGAAAAGCAGCAGATCTTCTCAACCGAGGAGCTTGAAATATGACTCCATCGTCCAATCTATTCATCAACTATTTCCATCGACTCGTTTCAGCTCTAATACCCGTCCAATTGTATTGCGTTACATTGGCCGGTTGTACTCAAACCAGATGACCGGATAGATAAATGTGGGCAGTGTACAGAGAAAAGATACAAACACGATCCTATTCTTTAGAGACATCTTGTGTAAAGACAATGATCTCTTCACTGAGAGGGAAAATTACATATTTATAATTGCACACTGTATTTGTCTATTTGAAGAAATGAGAGTGTGTGTGTGTGTGTGTGTGTGTGTGAGAGAGTTAGAGATCATGTGAGTTAGAGATCAGAGCAAACAAGGCTTGCTGTGCTTGTTTGTGCTTCAGTTCTGCTCTCCATATCAAAAGATCATCAAGATTAATGGATAACAAAGTTTGTTATTTCTGAACTTGAGCTTTAGCTGAATCCAGTATGCAAAACAGTATGTTTGTGTAAGACTTAAGCGTAACACTGGAGCACTCAGTAGGCGGGACCCTTTACACAAATATGCAATGTAATAACATATGTATCTATTGCAACCATAACTAATTCAGATTCTTTGCGGTGGTTGTGACACTCAAAACTATTTATCTACAGTTTTACAGCTGCAATAAAAGCGAGGGATTAGGTGATGACGTAAGTTTAACTAGCTTGGTTTTGATTGGCCAGTGAGCCCAGTCCTGGACACACATGCAGCATGCTCTCATGACACGCACACAGAGAGGGCCGGTGAAAACTTCATCGATTTTTTTGACGGTCCACTGGCCCACCAATGCGGCAACCCCACGGGATTTGTCCCAGCGTGCCAGCTGCTGCGACAATCATAACTTAGATCTTGCTGATTTGTAAAACACTGAGTAAATTCAGGTGGTACAAGTGTTTGGATGTTAGAGAACATAAGATGTAAAGGAGAGGATCCACCGGGGTGAATGAGGAACTTGGTCATGCTTAAGTGTTTATGTTGTTGGATGTATGTTTAAAATAAAATAAAAAATATTACATCTTATCTGGGAGTTCATCCTGGTTGTTGCATGGTGTGAGTTAACGTACTGGCTTTCCCTGTAGTGAAGATAAAATGTCCTCAATAAGTGTCAATGCGTTCACTTAATTACAGTTCTAACAATACACAGCATGTAAGCACTGACATACATACATTTTTATACTTTCTACGGACTTAATTTTGTTCCCTTCTCTCTTTTTATCTAATATTTGCTAGTCAATGCTAATCAGCTGATGTTAGCATGCTAACATGCTAAACTAAGATGTTTGACACTTGGCTATAGACCACCTATAGATTACTATAACTCGATGAGTCTTTCACTAATGTATTTACCTACCTCTGAGCAATCTGTTGTAACCATTGTTTTATAAAAGTAAATATTGTTACAATAATTATTCTTTACTCAACAACACATTGAGTACACAAACAAGGACTGACACACACTTTTTGTGTTGTTTTTCACCTTGTAGAATCTCACCACAAGGTCCGTTTAGAAGCTTGTTTTTGAGATTTTAATCATATCACATGATCTCCATCAGCTCATGGGTTTCCCAGTTGTCATGGAAATTCAAATTTTGCCGTTGGGTGAAAATGTACTTTGCACAGCCACAGAGACAACTCACAATTTACAAGAAGACTGAAAATGAAAGACACGTCCTCTAAATAGAAGCTAATGAGCACTACAGAGGCAGCTTGTCCCATTCATGACATAGCATGAAGTTCATCAACACCAGCATTAATTAAAGACTTCAGGATACCACTTTTTAATTATATATACAGTAGATATATATATATATATACAGTAGATATATATATATATCTACTGTATATATATATATACAATTATAAATGAAATAGTAACCTCTCTCTGGCATGTGTCCTCACCAATATAGCAAACTGTCTGGTGCACTTAAAGAAGAATATGTTTCCAACAAGCAAAAGTACTAGTTTGACACACACACGATTGCACAGACAGGAACATCCCACTGACCAAACATCTCAAAGGGAACAGACCCAAGTGGTAAAGATAACAGGATCAAGGTGCTTCAACTTCAGCTTTGCACTTGGTTTAACCTGTTGTTGAACAAACATTCTTCAGCTCCTTCAGAGTGCTTTTTCCAACATCGCTTTGATTTAATAACAGCAGACACAAAGATTGCAGAGGCAAGGCAAGATCTCAGCACTGCACTCAAATGTGTGTAGGGCTTTACTCGCCTGCTTTCCACACAGAACAGGATCCGAGATCTGAGACGATGGATGGCACATAGACAGAAACAGAAGGAGACTTAAATCTCCGACTGGTGATGTGATACATGAGCAAAAAGGGAGAGATTATAGAACTTGATGTAACATGCCTCTTTCTAATTCCTCCTCTATGAGAGGAGATAAAACAGTGTTCAAAAAACTCTTTGCATATCACTCACATTCAACATCCCCCCCATCAATGATGCTGTTACAAATAGACATAGTGGATGAGGTCAAAGGGTCAATGTCCGCGGGTGCTTGGGAACTCTGAAATGTTAGGTCTTCAAGTTTAGCTTCCTGACATGTTCGTCTCTGAATTGAGAAGAACTTGAAGATGAATCTCATCAGAGTTTCACAGGCTGTGGTGTTTTTGAAGGTCTTTTCTCCGCACTGCAAACATTTTGTAGCTGTGCAGCTGAAGGCAGGCGTGTGGTGGGTGCTGCTGAGTGTGTAAACAGACTACTTTGATCAAGACTGCTTGACAAATCTAATATCCAAGAGGCCTGCCTGACGCTGCAACTGCAAATTACTTTTCAAAAAAATGTCAATGTGTAGCAGGAGTTGAAAGAAATGTGAGGTTAGAAACTCGGTGTGCTCAAGTTCACAGATGCAGAAACTGTATTTTTTACTTATGAACTCTGCATGTTGTGGGAGATATTTCTAACTCATGTTAAGTTACTATTCTAAGCGTTTTTTAAATACATCATTCGCAAAAACAAGAAACTTTTCAAAATGTTGTCACAGAGGTGCAGCAGGCATCTGCGGAACCAAAAGGTTACACTTTTTCGTTCTCTTCTCCATCTCAGATGACATCCACACAATAACAACTGAAGGAAACAACAAAGTCAGATTTAGGGTCCTAATTATTTAAATTAAATTCCTGGTGCCCTCCATGTGATTATTTAAGGTCTATGTAAGAACAGAGTTTCCAGACAGCCACGATGCGGATGGGAATAACAGACGGACACATTTCTACCAGCTGAGCAGTTCGGTCAGCAACACAGTCCGGAGAAAGCTGGGTATCCAGGCAACAGGCCGTCCGTATTCTCCCACGACTCAAACTTAAATCAGTCTTGTTCATTTTTCACACCATGAAACACGTTTTTTTTTTAATGTTTGTCCATCATGATGAAATGAGGAGGAGTATCATGGCCGCCCTGCAGCTCCCTGGAGAGAGCCGTGTGCTAATAGAACCCCAGAGACCGACTGCTGGCCTCTGGATGATGGACAATAAGAGAATCCACGGGAGGGTAGAGGGTTTGGGCATTGGATGGAAAAAAGAGGTAATTGGTGGGAGGAGATGGGGGGGAAGTGTCCCTGAGCAGTGTGTCCATCACGTCTGCACAGCAATGGGATCTGGCTCAGTTGAGGAAACACTCCCTACTGAGGCTGACTCAGCTCATCTGGGTTAATGAAACCACACAGGGATAAACAAGGGCACTGGAAACTGCAGCCTGCTGGGAGATGAAGCGGCACATACGGTCAGGGTGGTGCCTGGAGTAGTCTGTTTGAACAGAAATACAACCTACAGGAGTTCAGGACAGGGGGCTGAGAGACCTGCTGTCCACAGAAGAACATGAGGAGGATTGATAGGTTGTGACTTTTTGATGATGGATCTTCCTTAAGTTGAGCCTAAAGTAAATAATGCCCATCTGCTGGGCTGCTCGTATGCTTGGCTAGCTGCTCTGGGAACTCCCCCCGTCTGGCCTTCCACTGGTTCAGACGTGAGCCGCTCATTCAATGAGCTCCACTGTGGAGACATTCAGGGAGCAAGCCTCAAGAAACTCTCAATCCGAGCCACTAACAAGATCTCCAGTATGCACATCAGTGTGGTGAATAATCTTTGGAATAAAGATGATCACAGAGGCTTCAGACATGAAAGGGTTTTGAATATGTACGATATGACACTAAGAACACATATTATCACAGCCATTCAGAAGAGGAGGTGCAGTAATTGACAATGCACTTTGTTTTGAGTCAGAGTGAATACAGCAGCAGAATAAGTTTGAGGTCATCAGTGTAACAAAAAGTGCTCCAAAAAAGGTGCTAGCGCTCTACAAATCAGCTTCTAGCGATTGTGGGAGCAAATCTTTTGAGTATTTGGCTCAGTACAATGCTATACTTCAAAAAGCCAAGCCAGTGGGAACAGCAACAAACATGTTTTAACATTAACAACAGCAGCAACAATAACATCACCTGATGTACTTGTATAAAATTCAAGAAAATAATTTTGGCCGTTTTAGGGCCATGACATGAAAAAGCTTAAATAAAGATCGTATCACACAACATTTCTGGAATTTGACTTGAGTTTCTAGGTCTCAAGGCGTCCCTGAAGTGATTTCATCAGGAGGAACCTGAATCATTCCTGTGTTAATTATGTCTAAATTAAATCATGTAAATGAAAAACGACTTGTGGCCCAAAGGCTCAGTGTGGGACACAATTGGCAGAGTTTGAAATACTTAATTTACTTGATCGTTTATATTTTTCATGTTCTTCAGTTTGGATATATTTCCATCGGATGACAAATGACTAAATATAGGAAAATACATTTTCTTTGGACTTGCTCCTTCTTGGGTTAAGGGAGGTTTGAGAGGGTGGTGTTTTTAACTCTAATCGGTTCGAATGAAGCAGGACAGTTGATCAAGGGGGTCATGCTTACCTGTGTCTCCCCACACCGGCAGGTACTCGTCCTGCTGGATGTCCAGCATGATCTCCAGGCCGTTTCCTGTCCCTCCCTTCATGGTGGTGCGGAGCGTCTTCCCTTCCTCTACAGCGTTGAACATGTAGCATTTCCCGTACCTGGTGAACACCTGAGAGGAGACGCAGAGAAAGAGAGGACCGATAAGTGATGACTCATAAACCCTCATACACAGAACACACTGCAGAGACAGTGTTACAGTAGATGTTGCAGTAGGTGCTAATTGTACATTGATGGAGCCAATTTATCACCATGAAGGAGGTATATTTTGGCCACGCCCATCAATTTAAAATCAAAATTACTTGCATGATGATGAACTACAATATGTTTTCTCACAATATCAGGTTTTAAGAGGGTTTTACTGTGTTTCCTTCTTTTCTATTTGTCCCTTTTTGACTTTTGACAGTTTTTACACACCATTTTAACTCATTCATTTACAAGCTTTGCCACTACATGTCTGAGCTGTTATTTTTAGACATGCTACTTAAAAATGCCTGCATGTTCAAAAAACATCACAAATGTCTGTATGTGAATGCATTTTCAATGTTACAAGGTTATTACAAGGTCTTAGTGTCCAAAAACATATTTAAAAAGCACATTTTCATGGATTTCTTCATCGATATGATTTGAGTTTTTGCTACAATAGCTCCCATCATCATGCTTTGGGTGATGTCACTGTAACCATGGATGTACAGGTATCAGTCAGATGGATTGCCTTTGATACTGGATCAAATGTCTTCATTTCATGATTGAGAGGCAAGATCTGCAGTAACAAAAAGCCCATCTTTTTACACAATTTCTAAGCAGATTTATTCACCCACAGTGGACACTGATATCACTGGAAAGAGTGAGTTACTCTGGTTGCTGTATAATGTCTGTGCACTCTGGTTTTACTGTGTAATGACTCAGCTGGAGATGATCAGTCCCAAATCACTAAATTAGAGGTCTTCTTGTCTGCTGTAAAAAACTGGATGTCAAGTAATTTCTTGCTCCTCAACTCGAACTGAAACTGAGATGCTGGTCATTGGCCCTGCACAAAGCGCCTGTGTGTGTGCCTTCTTCCCTCCTGCCTTTCTTTCTCTCTCCTTCCCTTGTTTTCTCTCCAGGTGCCAACAAGGCCATTGGTTTCCACCTATGCAGGCCGGTCACGCTGCTCCTTGCTTTCCACAGAGTTCAAGCTGGCTGATCAACAGATCAGGGCCCAGAATGAAAGGAGGAAGCCTGAGGAGTTCACCTTCTTCACTTTTGTTCTCTGCCTGTTTGAGCTGTGACATTGTTGTTGATAACTTCTGGAGGTTTGTGGTGGAAGGTTGAGGACAGAAGTTGAGTTGGGGTACCATTTACATTTTACACATACGTAGTTCATTTTTGTCGACCCTTTGTTTTGGTGCAGCAATTCTTTTTTTAGATAAGCGAGTAAAGCCATTTTGTTTGTGTTTTGTTTTCAGAGGGAGGAGTTAGCCAGGCCTAGTTTTGTTGTAAAGACTTCTATTCGTTTGGCACGACCACTCTCTCCCATCCTCTCCCACGTTTGAAATAAATCATCTTAATTGTTACTTCTACTCACTCTTTTATATTTAGTTGTCATGCTATCGTCAACTTTTTCCCAAGACTCAAAAGCGGATGTAACAGATCATATAACAGTAGCATGATTGTGTAATATCCAAAAGTTCTCCAGTTAAGAATATTAGTGTTAAGTTTGGTTCAATCCTTTCTATTTATCAGCACATTAAAGATATCTCTGTCTTTCAACAACGTAACATAAAGCTAAAATCAGGTCTTCTTTATCTATGGCTGATGCTGATATCCTAATTCACGCCTTTGTATCGTCCAAACAGGGTTATCGAAACGTCATGTTGTCAGGCCTGCCACGCTCTAGCTCTACCATATACTCCAATCAGGATGCCGGCCTTCTCCAATTGTGCCCCCTTCCTCTGGAATAACCTCCCTATGGACATCCGACAGTTTGATTCTGTTGAGGCCTTTAAATCCTAACTCCAAAATAAATTTAAAATAAATTAAATTTGTTTCTTTTTCTTTAATTATCTGGCTGGTGAGTCAGTGCGTGGGTGTGTGTGTGTGTGTGTGTGTTTGGGCTTCAAGATATGCCTTGAATCCTTTCTGAGTATTTTTGATTTCGAGAGGTTATTACAGTCTTAGAAATCTGAAATTACAGAGTTGAACTTGTTAAAGTAAGTGCCTTATTGAATGTTTTACATTGTAGGAGGAAGTGCATTTCTCTCTCAGGCTCTCCTGTTGAACAGTGAAACATTATTAGTTTTCTTTTTCTTGCCATCATTTTTTGCATCTTCCTATTTCAATTGCCAATTTGTGGTCCCTGTCTGCTTTCTATGACAGAAGAGAGATATTCTTCCAATTCATAATCTCTTTTTAGGGCCAGAAAAAAAGTCTCTACTTTGGCTTTTAGTTTCTTCCGTACAATGTTTCAAATAGGTTTCGTTACATTGTTATAGTTTGGTTTACTCTGGTGGTTGTTTGGAGAGCGGTGTTGTTGTGAGACTAGTTGGTGTGTCTGAGGGCAGTTAGCCTCAGTACCAGCTGACAGAGGGAACCCTTTTCTGGACTCGGGAATGGGGGACGTCTAGGGGGCTGGATTTAAGGAGATATAAAAATCTGAGGGCTATTTTTTGAATGTCAACTATCAGCGGGTATCTGGTTTATTCCGCTCTACATTCGAGCTATCCGTTTGTTTTCTTCTCCCTTCTGTGAGGCTGACGTTTGTGTAGCCTCTTCTCTTTCCAGGTCACATGGTGGAGAGGAGGTCTCGTGGCTCATGCTCTAGCGGTGGCAACACCCAGAAGGTGCTTGACTTCTTCCTGCAGCTATCTCTTTCACATATTCTGCGTGTCATTTTGTCTATTTTGTAATTTTATTATGTTGGTCTTTTCTGTAAACACATCTATTGCATGTCTGTCCATCCTGGGAGAGAGATCTCTCCTCTGGTACCACGAACCAAGGGTAAAAAAGGATAGAGGATGCTGTTTGCTTTACAGATTGTGAAACAGCCTCAGGAAATTTGGGATTCGGACTTGGGGATATAAAAATTGATTTGACTCAGATAAGAAGGGATGTGACGCTGACCTGTATTGCATCAATTGAGTTCAAAGGGTTAAAGTCATTAAAGCCATTTTCTTTCTCTTTTATTTCAGAAATAATTGTCTGTCAATGGTTTCACACAGCCCTGACGGCTACAAGTGTTATTATGAAGCGTATCTCTGTGAAGGACAAGTCTGCCAATAAATGTTGGCTGGCAGAGAGGCACTCTCTTTCTCATATTATCTACCTTTCCTTCTGCAGGAGCTTTCAACTTTTGAATGGTGCACAGACTGCGGTAAAGCGAAACAACTGTAGAGCCCACAACAACTCAAAAAAAACAGATCCAATTTAACATGTAATTGCTTTAAAGCAGAAAGCACCCTGCCATCACTGGCCCCTACTTCAACAAGGCTTCAGAACATATTACAGAACCGCTCCATTCCCTCTATGCTGTGTGCTACATATTTTTGTGATTGCTTACACACTTAGAGTAAATGCTGAAAAAAAAACGTCAAAACCTTCAGTGTGTTGTTGCTTTGAAAGAGTAATTCAAAGGGTGCGTGTGTGTATTATTTCGTGGCAAAAATTCTACTGTTGAAAAAGGATTGTTAGGTTTTGATTGCAGAGTTTTATTTTGACTCTCTGTACTACCACTACCTCAACAAGAGCCACCAAATGGCTTCAAAGCACTTATCAATAGAGTTAAAACTACAGAGTGCAGCTTCTTTCAGATGTCTTCGTGTAACACAAGCAAACATGTAAATGAAACTGTAGTTGTGAGGTCTCCATTCATGAATAGTTATCAACATGACAGCCATCCACTTCAGTCTTTGCAATCAGTGACTGAGAGGAAGTTTAGATTTAGATTATAATCTATGGCATACTGTATGTCCTGACTGTATGCTCATTGTCTCATTGAGGAAATATTACATTTACGAGTCCATGCAGCAGCATTTCAAGCTTCTCACAGTACGGAATAAACAGCAGCATTAGCCTTTTGGCAATCTCTCTCTCCACCATGTGCCCTTTGCCTTGCACGTCACAGCAACCCCCAAGAGTATCCCACATTGCTTCAGTGTTTGTTAAAAAAAAGTCAGCCAGCTAGACATAGTACCTAGTTTGCATAACAATGATCAGATCATAATTCGGGGCAGAATTGAATTATCAGCGGTAATGCAAAGGCATGTAGCATTTTACCACATTTCAAAAACGAATGTCAGCTGTGACTCTACAATCATAACCGTCTTGATGACGAATGATGAGAATGCTTACCGGTTGTAAACATGAGAACATGGCCGATCACTACCTTCCATACCACGTGATATAAACGAACCAGCTGTTTGTCTTCTATGTAGACGGAGAGAGAAAATATTGATTTTGGTCATTATAAACGTGTTAATAAAGATCAAGAGTCATGTGACTGCACTGCATAGTGGTCCATCAAGGCTAATGTTGGTGGGGATTATTGTTAATATCTGATTCTCCTGTACCACAGATGTTTAAAATTGCTGAATGAGACAACAGAATGGAAGGCCAACATCGGCAATAGTTGTTTTTTCAGTGCAGAAGTGTTTTTAGATGGATTTTTCATTTCATGCTCCTCCTCCTTCATTGACACTGGCCTTCTCATGGATGGTTTACTGACATGATTGATCGACGACTTAATGCCATACTGCCACAGAGGTGGTGCAGATCGGAAGAATATGAAGTACCACATTACAGGTTCATTCACCTCTGCAAAGCAGAGATGCTCCCGACAGATATGTACCTGCACAAAATAAATGACGCACTGGGAGTTGCTGGAGCGGAGTGAAGAGGACAGAGGATAAATATTCATGACACTATCACTCCACGTTTGCAGGAACACGATGAGGCTGTTTTTTTCTTTTGTTCTTTTTATTCACATACTTCTTAGTGCAGAGGAGAGAGAAACCACAGAGGTCCCACAAGGTAGTGGTCCAATATCCAACACTAATTTCTCAGAATCCCATGTCTGCTGAGGCTTGGCAATGTAACCACGACTTAACTGCAGTTTCATAAGAAACGGTGCGTCGA